GGGGCGCGCCGAGCGGGGCATACCAGCGGGCCGCAGCGCTGCCGAGGCACCGCTTAAGAACCGTTTACACTTGCGACCCCTCTCCCACCTCCACCCCGGCCCACAGCGCCCTCCCCCATCCCATTGCATCGCAGCCGACATTCGCACCGCGAATCGGCATTATTAGCGCAATGAAGTTGAAGCGCTCCCTCGAGATTGCCCCCCGTCCGAAGCCAACGTCAGGGTGACTGTGCGGGGTAAACATAAACGGTTGTGACGAAGTGACGTGGGGTTGGCAATGACGTGTCGCGCGCGGCGAGGGCTCGGCGGGAGGTGTGGCGGGGCGGGGCGGGGCGGGGGTGTTCATGCAGCAGGCAGTCATCCAAAAGTGTTGTAAATACCGGGGGAGGTCGGCGGGGGGCGTGATTAAGCAAGAGACAGGTACAGGACCAACGAGCGGAGGCGTGAAAGCTACCTCGAAATAGTTCTCTCTCCCGCGCGCGCGTGCTTGTGTGTGTGTGTGAGAGAGAGAAAGAGTTCTGATGAAGGGGGAGGGGCCTCACTCGAGAGCTGCACTTTTGTGATTACATGCACGACTTCACGTGGACCGTGAGCTAAAGTCCCGTTGTAAAAGGCAACGGGAGGGGGGGGGGGGTTGTCCGCGCCGCGCGGCGGCCGCAGCCGCGTAGTGCGCGCAGTGCGCGCGGACGCGCCGAGCAGCTCCGGGCGAACGCCCGTGACTCCGTCGGTAGGCAACCCGCGTGCCGGCGTGCCGGCCGGTGGCCTACCGCAACCTCATCAGGCTGAGTCGGCGCGGCCCAGCCCAGCTCCAGTCCTGTCCCACAGTAACGGGGGGCGGCGGTGCTCTGGAGCTGCGCTTGCATTACTCGACGCTCAAATTAGCCTGCCGCAGCACGCGCCGCCAGCCACGCCCCAGACCTGCCGCCGCTGGCTGCCGCTGCTGCCGCCCCAGGGGCTGTACAACCAATATCATATCTCAATCTCTGCGGCGCTCACCCACTGGGCCGGGCACCGACCCCCTCCCCCCCTCCGCCCTCACGCAAACAATTCTAATGGCCGCTGAGAGCGCGGTGGGGTGGGTGCACCGCGGACTCGTTCGTGGACCAGCAGCGGCCGCGAGGCGGCCCTGACTGACGGCGGCGGCGTCGTGCAGCCGGAGGAGGAGGAGGAGGTGAAGGCCCTGTTCCTCTTCTAGTCGGTGGGATCCCCGTCACGTCGTGTCCCCCGTAGCCCTGTCCATAAATCAGCCAACAGTCTCACAGGCGTCAGCCGCATTGACAGCACTAGCCAATAACTCACGCATCGCGCGCCGCCGTCCCGCGCGCCCCGCGCAAGAAGGACGAGCAGTTGCAAAAATTATTATAGTAAAAATATGTATCTAAAAGGAAAGAAAAAGAAAGCCTAGAAATGAGGATGGAAATTTAATTAGGAGGCTGCTCGTTAATGGAGT